AGGTGGGAATTTTGCGAATTTTGGGGATGTGAGGCTCACCTGGAGGGGTTTGGGGTGGGAAATTCGGGAATTTTGGGAATGTGGGGCTCACCTGGAGGGGTTTGGGGTGGGAAATTCGGGAATTTTGGGAATGTGGGGCTCACCTGGAGGGGTTTGGGGTCGGAATTTTTGGTATTTTGGGAATTTTGGGGATGTGGGACTCACCTGGAGGGGTTTGGGGTCGGTGATTCGCTGCTGCTGGGGCAGGGGTTGGGCACACCCCGATCCCGATCCCGATCCCGGCTCCGGGTCCTGCTGGGGGATCCCCGAGATCCCCACGGGGCCGGGGGGGGACCCCAACAGGGTCAGGGCCACGTAGGCACCGGCTGGGGGAGAAAAATCCCAAAAAATTGGGGATGTCAGAAGGGTTTATGGGGGAAAAATGGGATTTGGGAATGGGCAGGAGGGGCTTGGGGAGAAATCCCAAAAAAATGGGGATGTCAGAAGGGTTTATGGGGAAAAAACGGGATTTGGGAATGGGCAGGAGGAGTTCGGGGGAAAAATTTGGGATAATGGGATATGAGAGGGATTTGTGGGAGAAATTTCCAGAATTCCCGGGAATTCTCGGACTCACATTTGATCAACTTCACCACCTCGAGGTGGGAGCTGTTGGTCACCATCGTCCCGTTCACCTGTGGACACCAAAACGGGGTTTGGGATCGGGGAAATGGGGTTTGGGATCGGGGAAAGGGGTTTGGGAATGGGGATTTGGGATCTGAGCATGGCGGTTTGGGATCTGGGACTGGGGATCTGAGAATGGGGATTTGGGGATTTGGGATTTGAGGATTTGGGAATTTGGGGATTTGGGAATTTGGGATTTAGGATTTGAGCTCGGGGCTGGGTCAGTGCTGACCTTTAGGATGCGGTCACCCTCGTGCACTCCGGCCCTCATGGCGGCCCCGCCTGGACACAGCCGAGGGTCAGCGATTGAAATATCCCGAATGTTCTGGAATGTTCCCATCCCGTCCACCCCATCCCACCCCACAGCAAAACCCCGAACTGGGAACATCCCCCCCGGACACTGACCATTCCTCCAAACACTGACCATTTCCCCAAACACTGTCCATCCCCACGCCCCAGGACACTGTCCATCCCCTGTCCATCCCCACGCCCCAGGACACTGTCCATCCCCTGTCCATCCCCTGTCCACCCCAGTGGTCACTCACTGACCGGGCCGCACAGACTGCACCAGCACCACTGACTGTCCATCCCCTGTCCATCCCCATCCCCCTGTCCATCCCAGTGGTCACTCACTGACCGGGCCGCACAGACTGCACCAGCCCCCTGTCCATCCCCCTGTCCATCCCCATCCCCCAGGACACTGTCCACCCCAATGGTCACTCACTGACCGGGCCGCACGGACTGCACCAGCACCACTGACTGTCCATCCCCCTGTCCATCCCCCTGTCCATGGCAGTGGTCACTCACTGACCGGGCCGCACGGACTGCACCAGTACCACTGACTGTCCATCCCCCTGTCCATCCCCCCGGATGACCAGTGTCCAGTGGTCACTCACTGACCGGGCCGCACGGACTGCACCAGCACCACTGACTGTCCATCCCCCTGTCCATCCCCATCCCCTGTCCATCCCCTGTCCATCCCCCTGTCCATGGCAGTGGTCACTCACTGACCGGGCCGCACAGACTGCACCAGCCCCACTGACTGTCCATTCCCATCCCCCTGTCCATCCCCCTGTCCATCCCCATCCCCCCGGACACTGTCCACCCCAGTGTCCAGTGGTCACTCACTGACCGGGCCGCACGGACTGCACCAGCACCACTGACTGTCCATTCCCATCCCCCTGTCCATCCCCCTGTCCATCCCCACCCCAGTGGTCACTCATGGTCACTCACTAACCCGGCCGCACGGACTGCACCAGCCCCACTGACTGTCCATCCCCATCCCTCTGTCCATCCCCATCCCCCAGGACACTGTCCATGGCAGTGGTCACTCATGGTCACTCACTGACCCGGCCGCACGGACTGCACCAGCACCACGCGGTCTCCGCTGACGGTGAAGCCGAAGCCGTGCTGATCCCGCTGGACGATGACACAGCGCTGGACCAGCCCTGGGGAGGGGACACTGCGGTCACTGGACACTGCTGACCACTGGGGACAGCGGGGACACCACTGACCACTGGGGACATTGACCACTGGGGACAGCGGGGATACTGCTGACCACTGGGGACAGCGGGG